AAAACGCTTACAACAAATAGGGCATAAAATATCAATCAGTTCAGCTGTCAAAGCAACGCTATCTATCACAGCCTGTTATAAACAAGCTTATCCTTTATTTACTTGATCGATAAATGTTATGAATGACAGTTCAAAAATCAGTGAATTAAAAAGCTTATCACATTTTGTAAAGGATCAAACCCAGTAAAAAAATAAATAATTGGATAACATGTTTGATGGGAGATAAAGAATTAAAACGAAAATAGATAATATGATAGCAGTTAAAATGACACAGACCAAAAATAACTTTTCACATCTGTATACAATTAAAAGTGGGAGCTCCTTGAATTCAGAAGACAAATTAGTGCTCTATTGTGACCTTTCTATCACGGAGTTACGCTCTAAGTTCTGCGGGTAAGTCTTTAAAGTTTCAACAATCAATGACATTAACGCACAAGGTTTTCTCTTTCATAAAGATATCGCTACCAGATAAAAATTCGAATTTCAAATCAGTTTACCTAAAATTTAAAAAAATCTGATGCGGACACCCCATGACTTCTTCATACAGCTTACTAAATTATACACATTTTTTGCTACACTTCATTTTAACTTGTTTCCTCGAATTATTCTAACTTAATTAACCAATCCCTCGAGGCAAGTTGAAAACGATATCTAAAATTGCAAATTTCAAAAGTAAGTATCCCGGTGAAATTCGGTATTTAAAACTCTTCTGTAATTAGATGTATATATATGACTATGATCAATGACTGCGAAAATATAGGCTAGGTAAAGAATTCAAGCCGTGTAAGGGGAAGTAGGTATATATAGGTTTGCTTCCGATTGTAAAAGAAAAGGAGAGATGCAGAACTAGATGTTTTAGTAGACCCATGCACAAAATTTCAACGTTCTACGACTAGTTATGGGAGAAACATACATACGTACGTACAGATGTCACAGAAAAAGTCCCTTTTGAATCCATTTTACACTTCGTTTTAAAAAAAAGATCCTTTATTCTGTCCGTACGTAGAGATATCACGAACAAGAATCGTCCGAAGGGGTTCGGGAATGGTCAAAATGGACATCTCTGTTGAAATATGATACCCCAAATTTTTTCGCGATTACAATACTTCCTTTCTCCTTCGTACAAGGAAGTAAAAAATGAAACCATTGTTTTTAAATGTACTAAAAAAATAAGTACATTCTTAAACTGTTTTCATACATTATTGATAAAAAATAATTCGAGTTCTGTTTTCTAAACACATATTTTCACATTCTTTAGTAGAGCAAAGAAATCGAAATGCACCAGGAAACATATCAAAAGAACAAAACGTTTTGAAAGAAAATAAACGCCTCGTTTAATAATGTTTAAAAGGACCATCAGTTGTTGAGTGGCTATGACCACAGAACATTGATAATTTGAACCTGTTTCGAATACCAGCGAAGAGTATGGTTGCACGTTTTTTTACTCCTCATGTAAAAAAAAAGTCTGATGTGTACACCACATGACTTCCTTGTACGGAATATTAAATTATATGTATTTTTTCTTGCATTTTATTTAAACTTATTAGATTGAATTAAACCTACTTCGCCGACAGCGCATAAACCACAATAGAATAAATGCATTCTTTAAAATTCACTTTGTTTACCATAGCGACACTCTGGCGCTAGGTTTACTTAACAGTATTATATTTCATTCATATTATAACTCTGAATGCACAAAATGTATATCATTTAAAGAATTACCTAATCGTTGCCACATGTTCTATTCAAATACTATAATAAAGCTAGAACTATGTATAAAAGAAATTAAGCAAATAAAACAAAAAAGGAAACAGTTTTTCACAGATGATTGAGTATTTCTCATTTAATTAATTCAGTTCTTACTTCGCGAGAAGGCAAAAATACATAAAAACTCAAAATATCTATATTAAAAATTACGAAGTAAATTTCAAACGCCTATTTCCTCGAAAAAATTCCAGAAAGAATTAAGCATGATTTAATTGGCAATAATAAATTAATGCGTTATCTTTGTTGTTGCGAAGCTAAGTTTCTCTAGATTGGCAAAAAATCCACTAGTCTCCTGTTTCAAATGTAAACATCAATGGCCGCCATTAAAAACAGTCTTAGCGGCAATTAAACAACTTTAAAATTGCTGATAATTCTAAAAATATTACACACAGATTTACTAAAGGCATAAAATCCTTAACCGGATGATAAAAACAACATAATTCAATCATTTTTAAAGAAACAAATGTACAATTTACAAACATATAAGAGTAAAGAAACTGAGATCACTGAGCCGGGTAATAGAGTGGATATAAATATATTTATATACGTTTTGGTGCGGCCGATTGCAACCAAAATACGAAGTGCACATCTACATGTTATAGCAGCCCTATATACAAAATTTCAATGTTCTGAGGCTACTCGTTTTTGAGTTATGCGAGATACGTACGTACGCACGAAAAATTCTCTTCAGAATTAATTTTAAAGCAGTTTTATAATTTTTTTGAAGGAAAAGAGTATTTTATTCTGTCCTTACGTACAGATATCACGCAAAAACATCGTTAAATTGCATTCGATAGCGATCAAAATGGATATTTTCGTTGAAATATGCTGTCTGAAACTTTTCGCGATTACAATACTTCCTTTTTACTTCGTACAAGGAAGTAAAAAACATAAGCAACCCCTTCTCTTTATACAGTTAACTTTGTTGCGCTTAGTCATAATCAGTAACAATTAAAACTATCAAACGAAGATATCAGCGTATATTTAATACATAGGATAATTCAAAGGTATTAAAGCATATTAAAGAATAAGTACCCTTTAGTAAATTAAGCCATATAGCTAAAATTAGAAGTAAATATAAATCAATTAATTCTCTTGCATGGAAATTACAATATATGTCCAAGCTACTCTCCTTTTAAACTTAAATCACACGATGGCATATTTGCAGAAATATGTAATTACAACATCTCCTCTCGCTTGGTGGTAATTTTCGATTTAAATACCTTCTGGCGGTTCCTCATTCGAATTGTGTTATCTGCATATAAATATGCACTTGCATTATGCAAATGTGCGTATGTTAAATATGTATTATATATTGATATACATTTTATAATGTGTTAGTAAATTTTAGTGTTTAGCAGTTTTAGTTTTTTGTTATACTTACTATACTTTAAGTTTTCGAAAGTTCAGAAGAAATTATGAAGCACTTCGCATTTACTTCCACTCTTTTATTAAGATTATATCTGGGCGAGACTGATGTTTGTGTTGAAAAATTAAAGCGTAATATTTTTAACAACTTTTAAATATAAAATTATGTGAGCAGAAGTCTCGCATCGACCAAAAGCACAGTCCTTGACAGAAGAGACCCTGCCTGTTTCCCATAACATACATATGCAGTTCCCTTTTTTAATCAACATCAAGACAAGACTTAATTTTACATTAAATTTCAAACTAGCTGTAGCTGAATTCGGGACTCTACACAAAGTTTGTCCGCCTAAGATAAGGAGTACATTCAAGGAGGATTTTTTTAAAGAATTTGGCAAATATTTATATTGCTCATGGGGGGGGGGAGTATGAAAACCTACGCAGTAATCCTTTTCGCGGAGAAACGAAACCCCAGGTCGAACAACGGGTTCAACAGTCTTATCTACTCACCTTTAGTAAACAATTTGGAAAAAACGCGCTAAGACGTTTTTCGTATATAAATCAAAATTACAATGGTAGGTTTTTCATAAATATATATTACTTCAATACATATATAAAGATTTAAATGATCTGCATATCAGACATTTATTTATAGCCGTAAGAAATTAATACAATACATTAAAGTAATGTTATTTTATTAATGTCCTCTGATTTTAATTTTTAATACACAGCAGACAGAAATCAAAAGTGTTTGGAGTTCTTGACTGTTACCGTTAGAAAACTGAATGTTTTTCATTATGGTATCTTAGATCTGCATTCTGTGTTTTATATTACGATAATTATTTCTGAAAAATGTGGCTACAAGATTTACCGACATAATGTATGTAATTGCGAGCATCTCGTACAGCGTCATTCTTGAAGCCAGAATTCTTTACATGAACCTATTACCCATGTCTTTGGTCTCCTCCCTATGTTTTTAAATAAACTAGGTTAGATTAGGTTATCTGAATATGGCAAATTTCCCTAAGAAAAGGGGAGACTTTCTGAGGAAAACTAGCTTTTATTTATGTTACACATGGGAAAAACCATGAAAACCAAACATTCAGCTATCCCGTTCGCCAGGGTTCGAACACAAACTATTCGAACTACCAACACTCCTTGAACAGTCTTAACCACTCGGCCACTGGCGGAGCGTTTTTAAATACAACTGAATAAGATTAATATTATATCTGTAATGTGTAATTTTTGTAACTCTTTCCATTCTACGAATATCCTTATTCTTTAAGTAAAGACCATTCTATGCATACGTATGAGTCAAAAAAAAATATTACTACTGTAGCATATCATGATCTGTATATGTTAATAGGCTACATGAGCGTTATAGAAGGAAGACCAATAAGCACGTTTTGAAAACTGGAGTCAAAAGATACTATGGAATTTTAAAATAGCTACAGTTACACAATAAAATTCTACATTTAAACAAAAATACTTACATCTCATAAAATGTAATAAGTACGAAAGAATGTCCGCCGTCAGTTACTTACTGCAGCTAGCAAAGTATTTTTGCGTTTCGTACCCCCATATCGAAAAATTCAAAAGCAAAGATGCCTAACATTTAAAAAATCTTTGGAAGTGCGTTGAAATGTATATTACAGCGGCGATAACGAAAGCACAATAGACTTACTTATAATACAGTTTTCTGATCTTTTTTAAAAAGGTTGTAAATCTTCATTTGCAATACAAAGAATCTGCTGCACCAAGGGTATATTTCATAAAAGGCATTTAATAAAAGGCCACTTTATTCACCGTTCTTTTTGAAGTTTTATTCACCGTTCTTTTTGAAGTTTGAAGCATGAAAATTTTTTCAGGTAAACACATCAGCGCTTCTCAACAAGAGACGATAAAAGAAAATTCTGTGAGGGGGGAGAATGAGGTACTCCAGTTCCCCCTTCCACAACGGTGACAAAAGCAAAAAATATAAAGCAGAAATCTCAGTTTTTCGTTGAGTGAGAAAAAGGAAGTTCTTTCAAAAATCTTTGCCTGAAGCGTCACAACTGTGAGTAGATTTTTTTTTTTTTTTTTTTTTTTTTTTTTTTGTTTATTGCTCCCTTCCCCCTTGAAACAATTCCGCCGGCGATCTCGGTTTCATTTCGGCGAGCGGTAAAGCATTTTATGGACAAGAAACTGGAATTGGAAGCGACTTCAAGTATAAAACAGGCTTCCGAAAACAAACATTAAGTCGGGAAAGGAATGAAACAAATTTTTTCTATATAGCAGTTTTTCGCACAGATGGAACCAGGCTATAAAACCAAGTAAAATAGAAAGACAGAAAAACTGAATGATTTGAAATAAAAGGTTTTTCTTTCACAGTAGGAAGCCGAAACGGCGAAAAGATACAAATTTTGGAAAATATTTTTATGACGGAGAAGTCAGGAAAAGAATTAAGGTGTTACTTTTACACTAGCTAAGGGAAAACCGAGTAGCTGACTGTCAAAATAAAGTTCTTTATCATTTTACTATGTAGTAATGGAATACGTTAGTGTTGGTGTATTTAATTATGGCAAAGCACACGAGGGCTATCTGCCTAAAGGGAGGGATGCCTTTCGTGGAGGACTTTCTAAAGGAAACTGGCTCGTATACACGTTACACATGGGGAAAACCACGAAAACGCCCATGCAGCCAGCCCGTTCGCGGGATTCGAACCTCAGACCGAACTACCAGTGTTTCAGCGTCTTTACCGCTCGGCCGCTGGTGGGCAGTAATGGAATACGAAGCGTAGCCTTTAAATGTTTCATTAAAATGTTATCCGATGTGCAGTTAAAAAAATTCTGAACTCATATTTTTTTTTTCATCCGACATTTTAAAATGGAAATTAAGGTGCCCTATTTATTACTATGACCCACCAGCGGCCGAGCGGTAACGCTGAGCACTGATAGTTTTGTTCGACGTTCGAATCCCGCGAAGGAGCTGGCTGCATGAGCGTTTTCGTAGTTTTCACCGCATGTAACGTGTATACGAGACAGTTTCCTTTAGAAAGGCCTCTACGAAAGCATCCCACCTCTTAAGCAGATAGCCCTCGAGGCTTTGTCGTAATTATACAAACTTAATAAAAAAAAACTTTTTATTTCTATGCCTCTTTTTATTTCTGCCGCTAGCTATTTATACTAAGTAAGAAAAGTATCAGTAGAACTTATATTGCATTTATCAAGTCTGATTCAATCTTGCACAGCCCACTAGCGGTCGAGCGATCTGCCGAACACTAGTATTTCGACCTGGTTTCAAATCTATGTGAACTTGTTAGCCACATGGGAGTTCCCGCAGTTAAGCATTCCACAGCTTACGAAGATAACCATCGCATACTTAGCCATATTTTAAATAACCCTATCTACTGTAGCGCTACCAGTGTTCCCTTTATATTTAAAGTTACAGAGGTGTAACTAGAAAGACAGAACGTCCCCTATTTTAATGTTAAAAATACCTGACGTACTTTGTCAAATTATTATGTATTCATAGAAGTCTTAAAACTATATTATTATAGCGATAAATCCAGTTTGAGTTTTAATACATGATCACTTCCCCGTTGTACATTTAAAAACACTACGACACTACGAAATACAGGATTACTTAAAAGAAATGGATTAAATTTTTATTAATCAAAAAGTATTTGTTTTTATCAAAACGCGTATAATAAAATTTTTATAAGGAAATCTTTTAAGTTTGTGATGTCCTCTTTTCGTTTGTTTTTCTCATGTAACAGCTCTTCATGTTAGTCGAACAATATGGCTGTCAATAAGGTGGAAACGCTTTTTGTGTCCTTGAATATGAAAAAAAAAAAAAAAAAAAGAAAGAAAAAAAACCCTATGTTACAATTGTAGAGCACCGCTTCAGAATACGGTCCATCAACAAGTGCGTACTGTATCTATGATTCGAGCAAGAAATTTGAGGAAACTGGTTGTCTGTGCAAAGAACCCTAACTACTCGGACTACTTGCACGAGAAGAAACAGTGAATCATGTTCCTGAGAATTAGATGCGCAGTCCGAGGAAGTCAACAACACGTGCAAGAAAAAAGCTTGGAATTCCACAAAAGACGTTCAACAGACATGACTCTGGCATCTTTTCCACCAAGAATTCTTGATTTAACACAGGGGACTATTTGCGTGGATTCATCAAGGGCTGAGTTTTCGTCTGCTTTTCCCACACGCTGAGCAATCTTATCAGAAGAGATTGCTGCGATACATGCCTATACGTATTTGAGAAAAAAACGTGATAAAAGCATTAATATTTATCGTGTCACAAAACGATCAAACGTGGAACATTTGTAACTAAGCCACACGAACTTCTGGACATACTCTTCTAACAGTTTAAGGTAATCCAGCTATATTGTTTTTGAATGTCTATTTCCTTTAAGCTAATTCTACATAATTAGAGCATTTCATAACTTATGATATGTAAGCATAAACATCGTGTCATAATTAATCGCGTACATGAAGTGGTTACTTTATTTTCACGCACCGTAAAAAAAGCTAATGGAATAAATTAAGTCAAGCTTAATTCCAACGATGCGTCTAAAATTCTTTTTCCCACCTCTAAATTCAAATACCATTTATATTTCACTATCACCGGCAAATTAAGCGAACCAAAAACGTAAACTCACTTGCGCTGAGAAACTGAACTTAAAATGAGAACTATTTTTATTTATCACAAACAATTTAGTGAGGTTTGGTTTTAGATGAAGCTGAGGTATACAAATCTCTTGTCCACTAAACTTCAAGTATAATATTTTTTTACTACAAGTAGGATGGAATATAATGGTAGATTACATAGCATGAATTTAAGACCCATTGTCTGTCAAAACAAGATAAAATATATTAATAATTTCACAAGATTTCGTAATCGGGTATTTCTTCGAAAGAAAAAAATATCCAGTAGTAGTGAAAAACGAACAGTTCACAGATAGGATTCAAACTCGCAGGCGGAATTGCAAAGATAGCTAACTGATAAGGAAAGGATAGAGCGACCTAGATAAGGAATTTGAAAACTTGCTCTACTGATTATTTTAAGCTTTTCAGAAACCAGTCCTCGCTTTCCCCCAAAAAAGCATGCGTCAGAAAATTCTTTACCATGGTAAAAGCCAAGGATATTCTCTTGAACTTCTTTGACTTTTACCAAGGACGTGATGTTCAGCAGCATTTAAATGAAAACACGTCCGAATTTAGAGCCTTTTGTTAATATACTTCTTTTTCAGGAGGAAAAATGTTTCCCTTGGAAACAATGGCCTTCTAACTTGGTTAACATTTCATCAACCAAAAATGTGTCTACTTGGCAGCAATAGTTAAGAAATCAAAATGAGTCTGGATGCTTCAAAATTTACAAATCGACAAAAAACTTACTTTTCGGCAAATTTGCTTTTCTACTGCAATAATTCCAGTTCGTAAAGCTATTTTCCCAGATACATGGATTCATTTCCCTTCTTGCATATTATTTTAAAATAAACAGAATATATCTAGTTGAAAATTTGTACTGGTATTGAGCAATTCGAGAACTACAACTTTCAAATAAATGTTGAATCTTCAGAGATACAAAATTTATTGCATCAATTCCACTCAATGAGGGCAGCAAGGTTTACTCGCATTTAAATCTTAGGGAATGGCAGAATGGAAAATAATTTTTATTTTGTTTAGCTTTTTATTACTAAGGTTAAATATTGATAAAATTGTTTAATAAAAATTTACATAATAATAGATAATCTAGATAATAATTCAAATAAAAATTTTAAATCAGCATTGCACCCGATTCTGTAATTTTTCATAAACGGCAAGCAAAATAATGGTTAGTCAATGGAAAGGGCACTGTGTCAACCACGACCGAGTTTTCAACTTGACTTCACAATTCCGGTTTAACAAGATTAGAATTTCCTTTTCCACCTTTACTTCTCAACATATATTACCAAAAATTTGTTCTTTTTCCTTTCTTCTTTTTCGGTTCCCTTTTCAGTTTGAAACAGGGAACTGGGTTTCTTAGACTGTAACGTGTTAGTGAGACGAAGAGGTTGCCATGCTAGGAGCAACAGACTAAAATGGCGCATAAATCTTCGCAAAATAATACGGTCACGTTTTGCAGTGTTCATAAAGTGTAGGAGGAGATGTCTCCGACCTATATACATAGTAAAAACTCGTTCTTAGACCATGAAGAAATAAATAACAGTTCAAAAGAGTGTGGAAGACGAGAGGAATTGCAACTATAAACAAGTGACAAAGTGCACGAATTTTAATTAAGAAAGTTCTTATCAATAAAGCAACTGCAAGAGACTATGGGAAAATACTCAGCTTTTTCAACCCTCCCTTTTAATAAGCACAGGAAATCACAGCAATGAAAGTGCTTAAAAAAGTGTGAAATGTGCGACTTTACATTAGCAGTCCCCTTCCCTTTTTTCCTAACAGCTTGAATTCCTCAAAAAAAAAAAAAAAAAAAAAAAAAAAAAAAAGGTCGCGGAGAAAAGTCATATACCTTTATAAGATATTTAATGAAAACTCTAACTCTCTGTTAACTTCACCTAAGAACGATCGTATTTGAGAGAAAATATTAATGCGAGTTTGTAGTATAATTTATATAATTCCTCATTTTACTTCCATGTACGAAGTAAAGGAAGTATTGCAATCGCGAAAAATTTTGAGTATCATATTTCAACGAAAATATCCATTTCGACCGCTCTCCCAACCATTTGAACGATGTTTTTGGGTGACATCTGTACGTACGGACAGAGTAAAAGACTGTTTTTGCCAAAAAGGATTGTAAAATGCATTTAAAATGGATTCAGAAGAGACTTTTTCTGACGTCTATACGTATGTATGTATACTGCGTCAAAGAAAAAAAAGGGACAGTTCTATATCTCCCGGTCTACTGGGCCGATTGACGAAATTCAACTTTCGTTTTTCATGTCTCGAAAGCGCGACTTAGGATATGTGTTAGATTTACATATAACATTGTTCTTATATAGATACTTTGACACAAAATCGAACTTTTTCTGAATCCAAATTATGTCAAACTCTCAAGTTTTGTAAAAATCGCACGAGTAGTTTCTAAAAAAATTAGCTCTCAAAATTTTAGCTCCTCTACGTGAATTTTGTATATGGGACTGTTAAAACATGTAGTTATGCATCTTCCTTTTCCGTTGCAATCGGCTGCACCAATCGTACATAAATATATATGTAAGATATAACAAAATATGACAGCTGTTTCAAAATATAATTGACGATCTCAAAATTAACATTCTAAATTTGATGATCTACCCCTAAATTAATCTCTTCTCACAGGTTCCAGAGTTTTCTATATTACGTAACGTTTTAATGCAGATACCTCTTGTCCAATCAAATTAATTCTAAACCAAAACTCTGAACTGAAACTTTCCCACTCCCAGCCTTCTTCCTATGAAAGTACTATAACCTTCCCTTTTTTCCGCATAGCTCTCCTGCTGGCAAGACGCTTTTAAACCATGCTGCTGCTTACTTACTTAAGACGACGCTCTAATTCAAACTGCAATTTATGTATTCAAATATAATTAGGAAACATCTTGTCTGAAAAAGGATGATTTGATATGCATGGAAAAAATAAAGATTGTGATTTTTCAAAATATGTTGTGCTAAATTGCGTCATCATACTTTCCACTCTGCCACCTTCAAGCCACTACGGTCTTCTCGGTCATCTACGCAGTATCGTAAGCTGTTGAGAGTTCCACTGCTTTCATCTACACATTTGCAATCATTACATATATATTTCCACTCTGTTATCTGGATCGGTGAGCTTAGTTTTCTTTCTTACATATTGGTAAATTGTGCATTTTTTGCTTTAAAAGTGGTTGAATTATGTTGTTTTTATGTGCCGGTTAAAGTTTTCATGTCTTTAATCTGCACGAGGTAGTTGTAGTAAGACATGAGTAGAATTATCAACTATTTAAAAGTTTACGTGGCGTGTGAACCTTAACAAAGCCGCCTTTGTTTACATTTAAAACTCAGAAGAATAGTGAATTAAGTCAGTTTCTGCAGCTTCAATTTCTTTTTGCCGAGTGGGATCAAAAGTAAATGTTAAGTTTTCTGCACCGAATCTGCCTTCTTACTCTCTGGTCGAATTGCTTGTTTTTTCGTAGAAACTCTAATTTTAATTGCAAAACTTGTTTTCTTTAAACTGTTTTAACTGGTGTTTTAGGTTTTTCTGTATTTGACAATTTTTAATGAAGATGCTTTCAGTTTTTATGTATTTTTGCCTTGCCGCGAAGTGTGAACTGAATTGACGGAATGAGAAATATATCTCTAATGAATTTCGAGGAAATACGTTTAAATGAAATGCAGCAAAAAATGCGTGTAATTTATAAGGCCATAAGTCATATGGTGTCCGCATCAGACTTCTTTTTTAAGGGAGGGGAAGCTTTGTAAGAAAGAAGCTCTTCTTCGGAAAATTCGAAAAAGGTGATTGGGGGAAAGGAAAGCATTTTACGCGTACATACCAGGTTTAACGGGGGTCAGGAAAATTGCCCATACAGTTGCCCCCTTTTTCTGTGCATTTGGACGACTCTATTGTGGCAGTGTAAATGTTCGACTGCGCGCGACGCCAGATGACGTCATGTTGTTTTCGTAATAAGCGCCAGAGCGACCAGCGAACTCACACATTCACAGCTCCTGATATGAGTTATTTTGAAATTTACTCAAATTGTAAATTTATTGTCAAAGCCAATGAAAAGACTGTGAGACATCACGTGAAGTCGAAATTGGACTTTGATTATTTCTGAACTGTTTTATTGTATATATTTTATATTAATCAAGATATATTAATCCTATATGTTACTCTACTGAAATTGTAAAATATCTCCACCCCACGATGGCACACCTGTTCAGTGGCAATGTAGTCACTTTCTTTTAAAATTTCATATCTTGTCTCCAGGACACCTTAAAAAATGTATTCATTCTACTTTCAGGATCCCTTATCTGACGACAACTGGCAAAAAGCCTGGAAAGTCCAGCAGGCTACGTCCAGCAGCTCGAGTGTAAAGATGTTCAAATATTTGCATAGAAGTTTTATTTTAATGAACAGTTGTGTTAATCAATATGTGTGTTAATAAAGTTGTCTTTTAGTGTATGGAGTCATGTCTTCTAAGAACATTTACCGAACCATAGCGCATTCACCATAAATGCACTTTTGATTTGATACGGATTAGCGTAATATTTTGACAAAACAAAGAAAGCAAAGGCATATTTCGTTACTTGTCACATTTTATTTCGGTACGAAATTCATACTTGAAATGCTGTTTTTTGGATGGGATATCTGAAAATTAGTATAATGCGATTATTATTGAATAGCAAAAGAGAAAAACAACGCAATTATTTGTTTATACACTATGGAGCTGTATAAAATCTTTAAAAAGAGAAAATATTTGTTTTAAGCTAACTGCATTACTTTCCTCGAAATAAAATAGACTGGAGACACGTGAAAACTAAAGCAATAATTAAATAAAATTTATCTTGTTAAAAGAAAATAAATACTTTTCATATAAGCGACAAAAGTTTCCAGTATAAAAAATAAAAGCCAAAAAGCAAATTTCTGAATACAGCATGTAATCAATCTTAACTGTCTTTGCTCTATAAAAATGCTACAAATTGCTTCCAGCGGATAAATCATGAATATTTTCTCCATGTCTTTTAAGTGAATTAAAACTACTGTCTTTAATAACGGTATAGTTATAATGGATACGCAAAAGAGATATACAGATTTTTAAATATAATGCCTTAAAAATAGAAACGGTATATTTAATTCAAATGCTGCTAAATCGAGATTTTTTTTTCACTCAGCATATATTATAATAATAAAACCTGAAGATTTTTAGACACCTTGATTCATTTATTGTTTTCAGTAAGAGGATGTCCTGGCAAAATAAAAAACATGCTACTCGAGAAAAAACATTTGTTGCAAGCCTTGTGCGCAAACGATTCAGTGAAATAAATATACATAATTGTTTGTTTACCAAATAAGTTCTCACATGGAATTAATTTACAATAAAATAAACCATCCTTCTCTTGCCGTTTGGTTTTACCAGTTCAATCAGCAATTTAAATAATAAAATTGTAGGGTAGGGCAAAAAAGGCTTTTATGCCCTACAATTTTAATTTAACAAATAGGCTTAGCTGTTTAGCTTTAAATTATTTCAGATGTTATACTAAAATTTGCGTGTAAGATCGGAGTAGCCAACAGACACAAGATGAAGCAATGCGGCCACTTGAGCACTTCCTTACATATTAGGTATCGTCGGGTCTTGTTAATTTCGATTTTGAGAGGACCCCCGAGGGGGCGGTCCGAGAGTCTTGCCACATCTTCCCACATCTTTCCACACCATCAATCTCTCAAGACGACTTTCGGTTCGCTGTGTATTTTGAGTGCTCCTTTGCCGTGTAAACACTATATGCTTACAAACGTCCCTACTTTCTCCGCGATTCAAACCCGGGCACTTCGGTATAGCAGTTACTAACCACTACACCAGCTGAGCAGCCGAATTAGCCAACAAGTAGCCGAGTGATTCAAGATCGCTGGACGCTGCTATTCGGATACGTTTCAAATTTCAAAGAAAGGTTGGTTACATGTTTTTGTGGCTTTCCTGTGTAACATAAGTACGAGCCTATTTTCCTTGGAAAATCTCTACGAAAATATTCCTCTCTTCCTCACGTGCCTTGTCTTAATCAATTAATATCATGTTGCAGTTTTCTTCGATATTACATTTTTCATATTTTAAACGATTTTAAAATTTTTATCACGAATTCTGCGACATGTCAAACTGTAGTCTGAAGTTTTGACATTGCAATACTTTCTCTCTAGAATTTTAATACAAAACTGTAGGTTATAATTTAAAAAAAAATGTTATATTACTCAGCTCAAGGGAGCATATATTAGTGTTTTATTAAGGAAAAAATAACGTCAAATTTGATTTCAATAAACAAGTTAAAAACTCATTTTTTTAAATTACCGACTGATATATATATAAATATATAGACAGCAATAACTAACAATTGAATAATAAAACTAACAACTGAATAATCTTTTATAAATTGTAAATAATACTTTGTAGATTAGCTTATAAAATTCCAAAAATAATGCTTTTGTACCGTCACATTCTAAAAGAAAACAGAATTAATGAGCCAAAAGAACTTTCAGCTTAAAAATTCTATTCAGAACATTCGTCCCTTAATATTTGAATTCCTTGATTATCCAAGAATTGCTCCTCTTTTCTTTTTATTGAATGAGCAGAATGTTTTAAAAAAAAAAAAAAAAAAAAAAGCTGCGAATAGCGAATATAATCTTCAAGATCCCCCCATGGGAATTTTGTATGGGTTTTTCTAATGTATTGAAAAGCGGTTTCATGAACAAAGTAAAATAAAGCGCCTGTCAACGAGTCACTTTATTAAGTGATAAAAGAGAAACAATTTAAACTTGAAAGCTTTTATGTGGGTATTTCATTTTTTATGCGACTTTTCGCATCTGCTTTTAGATACTGGGTATGGAAATAAGGTCGCGCGTTTCCTTTTATAAAATAAATACTACCATCGCTTTCTAAGGGCTTTCTTTGATAGCGATATGCTAGATAAGTTGTTCTATAACTGATCAAAAAATAAATAGATGCAGAATTAAATAAATAGTGCTATCTGCGAAAAAAGTATACTTTACTCTGTCTTAAAATTACTCTTCTTCATATACGCTTAATTGAAAAATTATAGATAAATTAGTAGAAGACTTTTTCATTCATTTTTATTGCAATTTCCTTTCCTTCCATTACTTTAATCTGAAGATACTTAATTGCTTGGTTGGTTATTAGAGGTGCAAAGACACGAGGGCTGTTCGCCTAAGGAAGGATGCCTACGTGGAGAACTTTCTAAAGAAACTGGCTCAAATTCGCGTTATACGAGGAGAAAACTATGAAAATCAACAATGCAGCCAACCCAATCACCTGGGTTTGAATCCAGGATAAATCAATCACCAGTATTCAACAGTCTTTAACCGCTCGAGACGTAAAGGCATTTTAATAGCATATCAATATAACTGAACATAATACAGTGAAATGTCGGTTTGCTGGAGTAATTCAAGGGGAGATGTTCATGATTTACTCAAAATCAAGGTTAATATATGAGTATAGTTAATATAAAATAAGAAAAAAGAATAACCTATATCGTAATTCAAAGAAAAGTATTGTTGCGTGCGAGCGGGTTCGCAATGGGTTGAATGCACACAGAACCGATGACAGCTTCATAAAATTTATTTTCATAAAAGAAACACTTTACAGTTCTAGAATTTTCAACAAAAAGACTCGCACAGCTCTTCTCAGTATGATACAGTACAATCAATAGTTAAAATTTTAAACTACTAAGAAAGTTAAATAGAACGAAAATGCATAGCGCATATAAGCAGCGAAGCTCGCACGGAGATCTAACACTGAACTAAAGTAAACTGAGAACTGATACTCTAACCAGCGTTATCCCCCCCCCGCAGCCAAGAAATTTCAGTACTTTCCCTTTCACGAACTTATTAGAATGGATATATGGTTACAGTTACATATAAGAGACTAATACGGTTACAGTTAAAAATAGTGATAAATTACAGTTATTCAGTTACAGTACCAATTACAGTTACACAGGGAACGGGCGAAAATATCGCTAAATAGTAGCCAAGTTTAGCGACTTTTACTAATTGGCGACAAAAATTAGTCGCCAAAACCGTCACTAGCTTAATGATATCTCGCTAATTTAACGAGATGGCTATTTACCTCAATGAATAGAGTTGCCTCTGTAATCTTATTTTTTAGGTTTTTCATGTATTTTTTCGAGGTGCTTCATGATTCATTGCACAAGAGATACTCGAATTTTGCATATAATTTTTCTAAAATTAACATACAAAATTCATAACAGTATTATTAATAATTCAATTCTATTTTCCTGCAGTTTAATCTCAAGAATGAGCTCATTTGGTTGAATGTAAATTAAATCAAAACAAACACGCAAGTACGCTGTAAAAAAAAAAGTGCACTATAAATTACATAAAACTAAACATCAATAGAAACGAAGAAAACAAATTATAAGTGGTCCTAAAGATAATACTTACAATATACAATAAGACACTCAGCAATGCCATTGAAATAAATAGTCTTTTTTTTTTCTTTGTATTGTACAATATTAATACATTCCGAGTTACACACAATTAAAATTATGAGCAGTTACGGATAAAAATAAATCTGAAAACATTATGATATGATGTGCTTCCAGTGCGATTATTCCTCATACATTGCTTTCCCTTATTTTGTCTTTCACAGAAACACTTACTTTATTTTGCCGGTTTGTGATAGCTCATTGCAGAACTATTTTTTCAGACAAGGCCCCATTAATCGGGAGTTGACTATATATTTAAAAGGTAACGACGGAAGTAACGCCTATTTTAACGCACATCCTTAAACCCACAAGTGGTTTAATGGCGAGTCACTAAAATGTGGAAAGCGAAATAGTGATTCATTGGTTTTTGATGGCATCGTTTTCAGTAACATCCACCCCCAGCCATCTATAATTTAGTCTTTGCATTCTTCTCATTACAATACATTACGTATGGTAAATTACAGATAATTGCCCATGCATTTAATAAACGAATGTTCTGGTAAACCGTCAATTATGAGAGCAAGTGCTATACCACAATTATTTATAATTTCGTTTTCAAATTATAACACACAAATTATGTCAAACTAAGCGGCGCTTTTGAAACTGAAGAAACTGCAATCATTTTAAGCACGTTATCGCTTTATTTTAGATGCGTACGTACTGTAATAAGTTCTAATCAACGGCTTCGATAGTTCAACAGTCAGACTTAACTCATGCTCCCACTAGATCCGGAATGGTATGGATCGCTGAATATCGCTTGTGCGCATTGGTTCAAATGTCGATGAATGATTTGTTTCCCCCACCCCTGTGTAAAGTGAATACGAGCCAATTTACCTTGGAAAATCTTCCACGAAAGCATTCCTTCTCCTTAGGCAGTTAGCTCTTGTGTATTTTATTCCAACCGAATAACACAGTGCAATTCTGATTTTATTACTTCTCGACTCTATTCCAT